CCTGGTACCAAAACATGTTTTAGGTTTAAATGATCTAGTTTACACTCATGACAACTCTGAGGGGGGTGAATGTTTTTCTCACTCTTCTGTTTAAGTGTATTAAAAGCCTAAAATTCTGTATAATTAATGAGCATCAGACCCACGTGACCACAGAGCTAGCTCCGGGGAAAGGCCTCAGTAGAGCCTCGGTCTGGCCTGGAAACTGCTCCGGGATTTTGAGTCTCTGTGTGTGTGTATTCTTGTTTGGATATTTTTTGTGCAATTGTTGGACAAAATGACTTGCTGTGGCATTAATTGCACTAATAGAGCGTCCAAGGAGTCTCCACTTCATTTTTTTTGGTAAGTAAAATTATATTTATGTATTTTAGGTCACTGCCGAGCTGAGCTTAGATTTTAACATGTACTGTTTAACCATGACATTTAAATGTAATAGGGTAAAACCCAGTGCATTTAACATAATGCTGCACTTTAGAAAATGGGTTGAAATATAACATGTTGGTGGAGCTGGGTTCCCACTATCGGCTTGTGGAGCTCTCGGGAGACCGATGTTTTCCACCCGTTCTCCCCTCCCCGCAGCTCGGCGCATCTCTGTCTGATCGCGGCTTCTGTCTGCAATAAAGCTCTGGTGTTGTACACAGTTAACTCCGGTTGTAGCTAGGTTGCTACCTCCGTTAGCTTAGCTCCCACCTCCGCGTTAGCTTTGGGTTAGCTTGTAGCTAGTTCGACCGGGTGTCGTCAGTCGATCCCAGCCTTACAGCCCCACCCTCAGCTCCACCTCTCTTCCCTTTTATGGAATTGTCTGGGCTTGACGGAACCTGTGACACGGTCAAAACGGCGGTGGTGGCCACCTCCCATTTTTCTTCAAAAACGTGTTATTGGAACCTATGGAAACCCATTGTCCAATATTTATATGTCGATGGTTGTCACACTACATAAAGTTCCTGACTGTGGTTTTTCTGCATGGAGGCATGTTCTCATGCATGTGTGGGTTTCCTCCCACAGGCCAAACCCTTTGGATAAAAATGTCCATGAAATGCATGAACATGAAATAAAGCGGTTTTTCCTGCTGGTTGCTGCAGTAAACAGGTGTTTACTGTGGAGGAAAACAATGCTGGGAAAACTGGGAAAGACCTGACGGAAGCTAGGAACAGTCACATCCAAAGCTAAAGGCTAGAAAGACTCTTTTATGCTCCCTCGGAACATTTCCTACAACCGCGGGGCAATTCTTTAATCTGACCCATAAATCAAAACCTGGAAGAAAAAAAAGTGAACCTTCTGGTTTCTACATGCAAACACATCCTTAATCAGGAGCACAGCTACTAAGAGAAGCATGACTCAGCACACCAACAGCACCACTCACCAGTCCACGTGAGCGGTCGGTCTGGCCGGGAGCCTGCTGCACAGAAGCGCACCAGGGCAGGAGAGGTTTCCGTCTCCCTTTATGAACCGGAAAGGCTCAGAGGACCACAGCGGCCACATCTGAGCCCCAGACCCGATGCATCTTCCTCCAGCAATGCCCACCGACACTCCCCGCGCTGAGCACACAGGCTCTGCCCACACACTAAAGCTCTTATGGTAAAGTCTTCAGCAAGCCGCCGTGTCTCCTCAGACCGACGCTCCATCGCCATCACCTCTGCCAACACAAGCTTGTCTTCCTTCCACCGGGTGAAGACGGTCTGTTATTATCTTTGTGAGGCAGACGAGTCAGAGCATCCTTCCTTCAAGCACACGGACAAAGATGCCTCTGTCTCAGGGGTTACAGAAGGTCATACGGGACAGCACATATAGGCTGCGCTGCTTAAAAGTCCGGGGAAAAGGATTACGTCAATAAAGACGGGGTTTACGAGGGAGACGTGAGGATCTCAGCGTGTGTTTTGTACTGTAGATGTGTGTGATTGTGTCTGCACGAGGGACGGGGGGAGAAAGGACGCGAGACCTTTTGACACTAGAATGACCTCTTTAAAATCCCCAGCAGGAACACTGAGAGTTTATGGAGACTCCAGATGGTTACAGCTGTCTGACATTTGAACTTTACTCAGTCACCGACGGAGGGAGGACATCTAGCGTCTGCAGCCTTTCAGCTTTTAAGGACAGAAGACTGATTTTATCATCCCTGTCTGCGCGACGTCGTCCTTTAACGGTTTGGACTCAGAAACCAAGTTTTTCATGAAGTTTTTCTAAAACTAAGGACTAAATGCTGATTATGTCATTTAAAAAGGAAGATTTTGATGTGAATTTAGAGATGAAACATCTTGCATCCTGTTTAAATCAACGAGCAGACACTTCCACACACAGGCAAGTATTCAGCCCCCACATAAAGACGAAACGTAGCATCAACTCTGCCGTAAAAGTGACATAACAGACCCGCAAGAGAACGAAGCGCTGCAAGTTATCAACTTTGTCACCTCGTCTACTTCGCTGCACGATGCTGGGTTCTGTTTTTGCCCTTCGGGGAGCCACTAGCGCACCAGAGGGTCATGATGCATGGGCCGTTTCTGCAGGAGCTTACATGCAATCAGGACACCAAAGACAGATGATGACTCATGCTGTCATTCATCCACTCAGTCAGTTTGGAGCAAGCAACTGCAAGTTTGCGTCACTGCACAGGACGAAACAATCCCAGCTTTATCTGGAAAGTTGTTTCATGCTCATCTAGTTGGGGAGAGATCTGGCAAAAGCTCCCATGGGAAGGCCTTTTGGGCTCTCTGGGTCCAAGACTCGGTTAATCAAGGTGATTTCCACCTGATGTTTTCTCAACCTGAAGCCATTTGACAGCCGTGTCTTCTGTGATTACATGACAGCACACAGAGATTCACCAAACTGTCACAGCCTGCCCCGTTCAAGCCTCAGCTCGACAGCTCACCGACGTCTTTCCTTCAGAAGGTATGAGGATAAAAGTTCAGAGATGACAGGTGTCACGCTGCTCTTCCTGGAGCTCCTCGACACGATCACGCCTCGCAGTTCCAAACGTTTGGGCTCAACTCGTCAACACCTGTGAAATGTCTGGCCACGTCTACTCACCGACTGCAAACGTTTGGCTGCCGTGCGTCCGTCTCCTCCTGATCCAAACAGAACCTAGCTCTGCGGTGACCTCAGTTTCACCGCTGACCCGAAGCGTTAACCCGGAACAAGACCAGTCATGGTTACGGAGGGAATAAATCTCCGCTGACTAACCAGCACGGGCTTGTCTAAGGCAACCGACATCATGAGCCGCATCATTACCGGCTTAGAGCGCAGCTCAATTATGGCTCATCGTGACAGCTCTGACGGGGTTCGGCTTCCACTACACCAGCGGGACATGAACCCAGCACGGCTCAGCGGCTGGGATGCAGCAGGTAAATGAAACGCGGTAATGACAGCGACCGAGCGCATCCACCTCACTGCATGTGTGCACGTGTGCTCCCACTGCACCCGATTACGTTTCCTCAGGTGGAAAGTTTCTAGTAGGTTTGATGTAAATCTGGAGCCACGTTGGTGTCGTTGTTTTATGTGACAGTGTGAGTGTCCTGTCACAGTGTCCCGATTGATCATGCGCCCTGGCTACTTGGCCAAGGGGATGGCCCTAGGCTGACTGGTTAGAGCATATAGGAGTCTGGGGATCGAATCCTGCCCAGGCCCTCGTTTCTCCACCTTGCCACATTTAGATGCAGCAGCAGCTCACCCATTTACGTGAAGGAGCAGGTTATTTTCTACAGGTGTAAGCTCTTCGCTCGTATTTCTGCTCCTCTCATGCAGCTCAGAACCAGAATTTTGTCCAAGCTCGTCGCCGATTTAGTTATTACTGAGGTGTTGCAGCATTTTCTGGGTTTCGCATCCAGTTTTGATCTTTTCTTGGCACAGACCAAACACATTAGCTGTGTCTACCCCAAACACAGCACATGAGTCACTCCTTACACTCACACTGATTTCTTCCCGCTCAATAAATGATTGTTTTACTCTGCAGCAAATGTGGCACAGCTGACCAAAACTAAACACGAGCCATGTTTTTATTCCTTCTCCTTCCCAGTGTTATGAGGGGAATACCAATGCTTTAAATACTTTGTTAATACATAGGTACACATGGGAGTACTTACGCACTAGCCCAGATGGTGGACCCTCTAATTTGAAATGCAAGGGTATAATTAAGAGACAAAAAAATTAAAAAGGAAAGCAGGAGGATTTGCTGCTTCGACATGAAACGCGGCGCAAATTACAGCAAAGAGAAGCGCTGGCTGGTGCGGTCATCATTATTAAACATTCACATTAAAACAAAATGCTGTAGGGGGGGGGGGGGGGGGGTAGAATAGAGATCCGGCGGTGGCTTTGATGTTTTCTGCACACAGACGCAAACGTTTTCCTGCGCATTTATCTGAGTTTGGTGGCAAGTTAAATGTCTGAAATGAGATGGTTCGTTCCGGGGCAAGTCGGCGCGTCTCAGCTGCAACATCCACGCTCCTGTTCCAACATGGGCCCATTAAATATCATCTTTCTATCATGAAACATATGAAGCTGGTGATGTGGGAGCTGCTCTGTTGCAGCGGTGCAGACAACACATGGACACCGGTGCGCATTTGGAGGGTCCTGTGCGTAAACGCGTCCGATTTGGGTGAAAAACTCCACATGAAAACAACATTATAACATTTTAGTTCGGGGTTTATATGGTAAGTTCGGCATGGCCCTTTTGGACTCAAGAGCGCCTGATCACATCAGCCATTATAGCCGTCACCAAACGCAACCAGAACCTGGCGCTACGACTTCATCTCAGATAAACGCGTCGTGCAGTTTAGGAAGCGATGTTCTGGTGAAACCTGGTGATTAAAGTTTATGTGAGAGACAGCTGTTGCGTGTTCGGCTCACAAACATCTCCACGCACCAAGATTTAAACATTTTGTTCTGTTCTGTACAAATTCTCACCAATGACCGTCAGTCCGACGCGTAAAAGCCTACTGCAGCCACCGACGCGTCTTTTCGGATGCCAACGCGAGAGAACGCGAGCTGAGGAAGTAATAAGTTAGACTCACCGGTGTCGAAATTATTAAAAGCTGCTGAAGAAATGAAGCCAGCAAGGAGGAGCGCAGAGACGACGGTCAGGGAATCCATGGTGAGCGTAAAGTGTGAGGTGGCTCTCAGGTGAAGCGCAGCCGGATGAGCGGAGCGGCGCTCGGTTGGATGGAGTCTGGGAGAGAGTCCGCGTCGGTCCCAGAGTTTAAAGCCACCCTGAACTTCAAGGCAGGTACTACAGCTACAAGTGTGACACCACAGAGAGCAGATAGCAGAAAGCGCGGATCCTATTTCCAACCCATGTGACAGGAAATAGAGCAGAGGATTGAACCTGCAGCGCCGAGGAAACAGCAGAGGGAACTGAGGAAGAGGAGGAGTAGGGGGAGGAGAGAGGGTGGAGGTGCTGGGGTTGGGGAAGGAACTGTGGTGCAACGAGCTGCAGGTCTGGAAGAGAACCAGATCCTGCAGAAGTAACCTGACCAACGGAGACGAACATGGAAAAATGATCTCAGATCAAAACAAATTGAACTTTTCTGTTTTGGTTTCTAAAAACTGAGTTTAGGATCAGAGAATTCTGGGGTGTTGTGTCCTGCGCAGGTCCAGGTTCAAGTCTGGAAATCCCTCAGGTCCAATAAGATCACCTTCAGCATCACCTGAGTAACCATCTGATGGGAAAGTTAGTTTTTCTGAGAATAAATCAGATTTTTAACATGCAGTTTTTTTTAAATACGCTGTTTCTATTTAGAGAATAATCCTAATCTGTTTCAGTGTGATGTTCTCCTTTTTGGGGGACTTCTTTTACATCTGAATAAAACGGTCACGTGTGTCTTCCAGGTTAAAACACACCTGCTCGTCTCCACCTTTCTGCCTCGGACCGACTTTTCCTTTCCTAGACAGAAACAGGTGCACCTTGGGAGGCTGGGCTCATTACTTTTCTCCAATTTAGCCAAACTGGGAATCCGATCTTTGTGCAGAACAGCGCCCTCGTACGTTTCCCACCAGCACCGTGCAGCACTGGGGGGAAATAAAGGGCTGAAACCAAAAGCTGCCACTTAACCTAAAAATAGACAGCTGGGGATGACCTCACCAATCCTGTGGAGATAAAAACAAAAACAAAAAAGAGGCTCAACGTTTATTTCTTTCTTTCTCCAAAACTGACGGAGGTGAAATGAGGAGTTCTGTGAAAGTAATCTGGTCTGACGTGTGCCCTTTTGAGAAGTGTACAGCCCTGAGGTAACTGGTAAAAGCTTTACTCGTGCTACACTGACGAACGTCTCAACGGAGGACATTTTTTATCCTGACAGTTTACCGAGGCTCTGGTTTCACATACAGGTCTCAGACTCCCTCTTTACTTCAGGCTGTGCAATAAATGTCGTCCATGTGATTTAATAATGCAGAATTATTTCATGTTTTTGTCAATAACTCCTCACTTTTACCCCCTTAAATCCACTAAACCAATTTTATTGACAAACAACTCAAAATTCTCATCCATCCATCTATCTGGGTGTCCCTTTAGGTCTCCTCCCAGTTAGATGTACCCAGAAAGCCTCATCCAGGAGGCATCAGATGTCCGAGCCCCCTCAACTGGCTCAACGACGTGGAGGAGCAGCGGATCTACTCTGAGCCTCTCCCAGATGACCGAGCTCCTCACCCTAAGGGAAAGACCAGCTACCCTGCGGAGAGAACTCATTTCAGCCGGTTGCATCCACAATCTCGTTCTTTCTGTGACTACCCAACGCTCGTGACCGTAGCTGAGGGTAGGAACGTAGAGCGACCGGTAAACTGAGCGCTTCCGGTTCAGCTCTCTCTCCCTCTTCACCACGACAGATCGGTGCAACACCCGCACCACTGAAGATGCAGCACCAATCCACCTGTCGATCTTGTGTTCCAACCTTACCTCACTCCTTAACAAGACCCCGAGATACTTAAACTCCTCCACTTGGGGCAGGACCTCACCCCTGACCCGGGGAAGGCATTCCACCCTTTTCCGACTCAAGACCACAGTCTCGGATTTAGAGGAGCTGATTCTCATCCCAGCTGCTAACAGCTTCAGCGAGAGCTGGAGATCACGTTCTGATGAAGCCAACAGGACCACATCATCTGCAAGAAGCAGAGACGTGAACCTCAGCCACCAGAACGGATCCCCTCAACACTTCGGCAAAAATAATCTAATTAAAAACTAACCAACTTTGTGAGACATTTTAAAGTGTTTTTCTGTGTAAAAGGTAAATAATACAAGATTACCTGTTTTTCATAGTTTGCTGAACAGCCTCTGTTTGAAGAAATAGTGTTTAGGAACAGATGAGCTAGTGACCCGAAGAGTTTCTGCTGCTGAAAACCGCTCCGATCCATTAAACTTCATAAAGATTGATGCAAACATGTTTTATAAACGTTTACACCAATGGCGCCCCCAAGGGGTGGCCAAGGGTGCCCCCCCCCCCATGGAAAAGCCAGTGTTAATAAATCATATTAATGTTCACTCGAACCATTAATTGATCATATTTATTCAAGACATAATTGTAAAACAAAATAAAATAATACAATTAATGAGTGAAGAAATATTCCTGATTGAAAAAACACGTTTCTGCTGCTCACCATTTAAAAAAAGTTGTTATCTCCATAGTTTTTTGTGAACACAGCAATGGGTGAATTAAACAAAAATATAAACACATTTTAAAATTGCTTTTGAAATAACATTTTAACGAACTGAAATGTATATTTCTGAAATGTTTGTAAAATTTAAGTAAAATGTTTTGGATACGTATATATATATATATATATATATATATATATATATATATATATATATTTTTTTTTATATGATAAAAACAAATAAAGGAGCGATGCAATATACCGTCAAAGGGTAAACTCTCCCAGAGTTACCACAAGGACCAATTTGGTGTGCCACCCCAAAAATTTCTTTGGCCCCATCTGGCCACCCCTATCAAATATTTCTGGAGGCGCCCCTGCTTTACACATCACACCCATCATCCAGGGGTCAAATCCTGCAGCAGTTCCTTCCCATTCCTGCCAAAACGGCTAAGTCGTGTCAACTAGTCGGTCTCGTAAAGGCTGACTGAATGTTGCATGAACTGCTTTTACATTTTGGAGGTTTGAGGCTTTTTAAACCACATCAACATGCTCACACACAGATATTTATAAACCGTGATCAATGACGAGTTTTCCACCTCATTTATAACTCTGAAACTTTTGAGCTGAGATAAAACGTTAAAACTATTCAGATCTGTGACGCTTTGACCTGATTTCTGGTTGAACCTCTGATGTGGGCTCCCTGGCTGTTCCTATAAATGTGACGGTGATCATTAGTGTGTTCATGGAGATCGGCTCAGACAGAAGCGACTGTGTGTCACACTGAATAGAAACTGCTGAGTGTCCAGAGTGAATCAGATTTGGATCTGTCTGTTTGGCCGTGCAGCTTCATAAGCTTCCTTTGTGTGTGTGTGTGTGTGTGTGTGTGTGTGTGTGTGTGTGTGTGTGTGTGTGTGAGAGAGAGATCACACACTGTGCTTGTCTGTACACGCTGCCTGGCCACATTCCTTGTGATCTGCTGTACTTAACGTAATCCTCCTCTCGTCTCTTTTCTCTCTCCAGATAAACTTTGGCACTTCAGCGCGTTACATTCCTTCTTTGACAGTTTTTTTAGCGGAAATAATTAGATGCAATTTCCGTATTCACGTATTTATTTTGTTGTTTGTGCTGCGACTGCCCTCCGCGAGTCCAGCCGGTTTGGTTCTGGCCAACGGCGCTCTGGAGGTCACGGTGGGCGTGATCCTCAGATGTGTCAGAAAGCATCGCCAAAGGGAAGTGACGCTTGGCTGGTTTAAAGGTCGGACCAGATGCCGAGAATGTGTCGCGTCCTCATGCTCGTGTTCAGGGTAAACGACAGAGCGAGGCCTTGAGTTTTAATGCTGCATTTCTTCGGCTGAATTCATTCTCCTGACAGCGTTCCTGGGATTCTGGAGAACAGAACAGCGTCGTATTGTTTAGGTCTTCCGTATTTCAGAAGTCGTGTGACTAAAAAATGTTTGTAATCTCAGAGAGGAGCGGGTTTAGTGGTAGATGTCATACGGTTTGTCTTTATTTCACATTTTCTTTTCCAACTTTCACAGCTTGAATATTCAAAATATTAAAAATTAAGAAAGGAGGAATAGTTAAAGAGCAAGTCACCCCCTACCAGAGTATTACTCCACTTCCACTTCCTGCTTGAAAAATGCAACAAATGCTGTTGCCTAGCAGACCGAGAGGGCGGAGACGCTAACAAATACACACACACAGGCTTACAACGACATTGTGACATCATATGGTACCAGCTAATGTTCTAGGGTACCTCTTAGCCAATAGCGATGGCAGATTTAAATTCAAATGCAGTGCAGACTTTTTACCTGACAACGGCACAACACCGACAGTTTTAGACAGAAAATTTAAATTTGAACTAAAATGCACTAAAGTGTAAAACTATTGACGACACGTGTCTGCAGCACGATTAGACACACATTTAGTTTATCAGAAAAAAAGTTGATTTGGGGGTGACTTGCTCTTTAATAAAAATGTTTCAGAAACCACATCATAAGTTATGTAATTATTTAATTACAAGTTATTTGTGACTTTTAATGGATTTAAGATTATTAGTGTTAATCATTTTTCTTTTTTGTCATTCAAAAATGAACACGGTGCATAACTTTGACATTTTGAAAACATTTACTCACTATGTAAAGAGAAATGTTTATAAGAATAATAAAGACAGGAATGCAGGGTGTCTGGGTCTTTCTTAGAGTTAGGGGGAGGGGCTCGGAGTAGATCTGCTGCTCCTCCACGTCAAGAAGAGCCAGTTGAGGTGGCTCGGGCATCTGGTGCCTCCTGGACGCCTCCCTGGTGAGGTTTTCCGGGCACGTCCAACCGGGAGGAGACCTAAAGGAAGACCCAGGACACGGTGGAGGGACTATGTCTCTCACCTGGCCAGAGAACGCCTCGGGATTCCCCCGGAGGAGCTGGCCCAAGTGGCTGGGGAGAGGGAAGTCTGGGCCTCTCGGCTTAGGCTGCTGCCCCCGCGACCAGACTCCAGATAAGTGGAGGAAAATGGAAGGATGGAATAATAAACATCTGTAAATATAATAAATCTGATGTCTGTTTCCATCTCATGTGATAAAGGAAATCAACTTTTACCTTTTAAATGTTACACAAAGATCCGTTAGTGAGACGCAACGCTTGTGATGCTAACTTTATTG